CTGGGAAGAATGTCATTTGACCTTATCATTCTTGACAAGCTTATTAGGTGTCTTTTATTTTTAATAAAAAGGAAATTCTTTTCCCTCTATGATAATTTTTTCCACATATTTGCTTTGCTGCAGAATGAAGGTTCAGCTGTATGGATTGCTCCCCCTGGTCGAGATATATCCAGTCTGGCAGCTAGTTCGTTCTATAACCTTCCTCCTCAGAGTCAGAATGTAACATTTGCTCCAACACAGGTTGGTCCTGGCTCCTTCGCTGGTATCTGTCATCCACAAGGAGTAGCAGCAGGTGTTCATCCTCTTCTACAGCAGGCTCAGACTATGGCCAGGGCTGTTGACATGGGAGGACCTGCTGCCAATGTTTATCAGCAGTCTCAACATGCACAGATGAACTGGCCCAATAACTACTGAAACAAGGATAGATATGTTCCTTTTTTCTTTCTTTTTGTAAATCAAGCAAACAAAACAATTCATTGTCTCCAATCTTGTGCTACTTTTGGGAACTCCAACAGGTATGAATGGAGAGGAGCATTGAGAAGATACACCATTAGCCTGAGTTAAGATTGTAATTCTGTTCAAGGAGGCAAAAAAAAAAAAAAAAAAAGAAGCCAATGGTATCTTCTGTTTGCTCGGGTTGAGGGCATAAAAGATTCGGTTTCGCCTTTAACTGATTTTGACGGTTTAAAGTTAGTGAAGGTAGGCATGTGCAGGTGTGCCTGGTGTTTACCCAATTTTCGTTTTCATAGTTAAAAACTCATGTTTTCCTTTTCAAGTTGTTGAACTCTTAGCATTTACTATTAAGGGTGAGAAACTTTTGCTTTTGTTTTAAGGTTTAGGGGGTTCTGTAAAGTTGATTTTGATAGCAAGAAAAGTATGTAGTGAACTCAAGTGTTGTAACTGCTACAAGCAAAGCCCAACCATTTTTCAACTGTTTCATTTCAGTTGAGGCTTTTGGCTTAAATTGTGTCCTAAATGTCTTAAGTCAAAGCGTGGTTGTCTGATTTCTTTGGCTTGCACAAGTAGTAAAGCTGTATTTGTTGGTGGCTCTTTCTCTAGCTTCACTTGTAAACCACTAGTACTTTTGATTTACAAAAAATTAATCATCTACGCCCGACAAATTTACAGTACGATGATGCAAATCAGATTGATTTACAAAATTTTCTCAATTGATCTACACCCAATAAATTTAATCATCTACTAGTTGTATGATGATAATAAATCAAGAATATCTAATGTTAAAGATAAATTGATATATATCTTCTAATCTGGAAAAAGTTATAAAATATATTAAGTGGTATTAATAAAAAATATTATTTAAAAAAAATTGAATTTAATTATTTACATCTTAAGAATGTAAATAAATTATCAGTAAAAGAACAAGATTTTAATATTTAACTTATAATCATCCCATTCAATTAAATAAAATATATTAACTATATATAAGCTCTTGTTTTTTTAGAAAGAACCCCAAAAGAAAGATGGGTCTCGAGGCAGAGGAGGAGGAGACACCGCCAGCAACCCCAACGACCGCCGCCGGCAAAGACCAAGAAGAAGAGACTTGGAACCTCCAGAAACAAGCCTTTATACACGAGCTTTCTCAGAAGCTCATAACGGGAGATCTACAGGCCAAGATTGAAGCTGCTCGAGACGTTAGAAAATCTTCCGTTAAGACACGTTCGAAATTCACTGCTGCTGGGGTTATTCAACCACTTGTTTCAATGCTCTCCTCTCCTAATCTTGATGCACGTGAAGCTTCTCTTCTCGCTCTCCTCAACCTTGCTGTTAGGAATGAAAGGTCGTTAAATCTTTGGATTTATTCTATAGTTCCGTTTATTTTTTTACAACTTATTGCTTGATTGGTAAATTTTACTATAGGGAAAAATGGGTTATAATTATTGAGAAGTGATGCAGGCTTGCATTTGTAAGTTCTTTGAGTAAATTATCAAGTCAATTAACTCAGTTAGTTTTCTACAAATTCGAGAGTATTTGGCTATGGGATATATTTTTTTTTAGTTTTTTTAGGAGCTTCACTGATTTTTGTGGGATTCTATTGCATCTCTATTTGGTCTTTGTCCATATAAAATAATTGAGTGAGGGGGCTGATTCAAGTGGTGTCTTATAGCTCTCTGTTTTTTAAGATTGTTTTGGTTCTAATATAAAGATGGATGTTTTGGATGAGAATCTATGGAAAGGTGGCTTCTTGATGCAAATTTCAATCTTTGCTTTTAGAGGCATAAATATGTGCTTAGGGTTCTATCCGAAGTCCAAATTTTGTACTCCAGTTAGCATAGTTTGCAAAAGCTCAATTAGATGACGGACTGTCATTCGAGTTCCAGCAATGCAATTTTCCTTTTCTTCGCCCAAGTTGATGATTCTGCCCGGTTCTAGAATTTAAAATTCTGATTCATGGTTCTGACAAATTTCCAGAATGTTTTTTTGCTTGTATCATTTTCCTTGTGTAGTTGGGAAATTCTGTACTTTTTTACTCTTGCTAGTTGCTGCTGTCCTCTCATTTCATGGGTTCATCGAATTGTTAATGTTGAATTATGAATATGCAGCGAGTTTATTGTTTATCATTTTTATTTTATGTTACCAGAAACAAGGTCAATATAGTGACAGAAGGGGCTGTCCCTCCTCTTGTGGAGCTTCTCAAACTGCAAAATAGTGGTTTGAGAGAATTAGCAACGGCTGCAATACTAACACTCTCAGCTGCTGCACCTAACAAGCCTGCGATTACAGCCTCTGGTGCTGCACCCTTTCTGGTTCAAATCCTTGGTTCGGGAAATGTTCAAGGAAAAGTTGATGCCGTCACTGCCTTGCACAACCTATCAACCTGCAAACAGAATTCCATTCCAATTCTCGATGCAAAAGCAGTTTCCCCACTTATCAACCTACTCAAAGAATGCAAGAAATATTCAAAATTTGCTGAAAAAGCAACTGCCCTACTTGAAATCCTCTCTAAATCCGAAGAAGGTCGGGTCGCAATGACTGATTCTGATGGTGGGATATTAACCTTGGTTGAGACTGTGGAAGATGGCTCTCATGTAAGCACACAACATGCTGTCGGCGCTTTGCTTTCGTTGTGCCAAAGCTGCCGAGAAAAATACAGGGAACTTATTCTCAATGGAGGTGCAATTTATGGGGCTTTTACGACTGACTGTAGAGGGCACCAGCATAGCTCAAGAAAGAGCCCGCACTCTCTTGGATTTGCTTAGAGACACTCCTAAAGAAAAGAAATTGTCTTCGTTGGTTCTGGAGAAAATTGTTTATGATATCGCTGCCCATGTAGATGGAGCTGATAAAGCTGCTGAAACTGCTAAGAGATTACTGGAAGACATGGTTCAAAGGAGTATGGAACTCAGTATGAACCACATCCAACAGAGGGCTGCATCTTGCACACCTGCTGCTAACTTTCCGTCGGCATGAGGTATGATTTCTACACCGGAAGCAAGTAAACCAGTTGAACTTTGCATCCATTCGATATCACTGTCCAAGAGAGTGCGAATCAATAGAGTAAAATATATCATGGATTAGGTTTAACTAGGAGTTTTTAACTTTCTGAGGTGCTATTTACTACCTCTACTGTTTCTTTTATATCACGACCCTGATCCTTCTGCGTGTATATATATATATATATACATATATGTGTATATGTATATATATAACCTCTGTGATAATACATGTATATTTCCACTGATGAAATCAAAGCAGAGGCATGTCTACCATTTTCCTTGTGTCACCTTACTGTAGCTTTACAAAACCATTGAGGCAATCGATCTCCTATCAATGTTAACTGTGATATTAGTATGTTTCCATTGGCAAAAAGAAAGCGATACCTCCATTACTGTTGGGGCCGATGTGCACAGTATATCAGATGAGAGACAGCGACATCAAATTCGGTGTGTTGGTTGATGATTAGTTGAGACATGGGATGTTGAGGACATTTGCCATCAAATATTGTTTTAAGGTCAAGTGATGTTCCTTTCAGGGGGACATGGCACGGATTATTGTATTCTTCACCGATGTGAATCACGGAAACCACAAAATCTGGGGTCCTCTCTTTTCCCTGTTCATAAGACTATTAAGTTTGGGGATGATAAAATCTGTTGCGTTGATACAAAAGGCAAAGCATTGGAACTTTTAAAAGCTGCATGGAAAAGCAGCTTCCTCGTCTAATCCGATCATGGCAGGGAGAAAAATGAGCTGAGAACCGGTAATGAAGACAGTTGATCTATGCAAGCCTTTAAAAACAGTTGTATTATTCCCCTCCGCTAGGTATCTTCGGATATGCAAACTCTCGCATTATACGGTTTTGCAATACCTAGTTCCGGCATTGTATAGAGTGAAATATTTTCAACAAAAAAGAATTAGTCATGGTATCGCCCCCAAGTAGCCAACCCCGATGAGAGCCAGTCGTGTCTAGATCAAGAAGCAAGAAGCATCGACGAGATCCAACTCCATACCTAGACCAAGAACCGTTGACGGTATTGGACTCCATTTGTTTGATATTTTCGCAGAACACCATGGAGAAGAAGAACCTCCACCATTGAGAAGCGACATCAATGGAAGAACGTAAATGGTTCGCATCCAAGATCTGGGACGCACACCATCTCAAAAGATCATACGCATGATAAATGTTATTACATTTAAGAATTAGTCAGGAAATATCCTAAATATTATGCACAAACATTATCTTAGTTATATTAAATATTTTTTTATTAATTCAATTAATTAACCAATTTCAAACTGAACTAACAAATAATCAAACTTTGAAAATTTTCTTTAGTATTAGTTGATCTAACATCTAATTAACCGACCAATTAACCGAGTTAAATTTCAGTTCAATCAGTTAATTCGATTAAAACCGAACACCCTTACCCGATCCGATTTTCGTCAAAAACAGATTGAGGATGTTACAGTCAGTTTTCACTACTAATACATTTAGTGGCCGCCAACCAGACTGAAGAATCGGAGAGTAGTACATACAACAAATGAAGTATTCACCCATTGGAATTAGAATGCAGGATTGGAGAGCAACCTATTACTCTCCTGGAGAATGCATTCTTAAATTAGAATGAATTGAGATGGTTGGTTTTCATTATTTATAGATTACTCTAAAGCTCTGATATAAACTACAGTGGTATAAAACTTGATTCCTCGCCAAATGATAAGTAGACCATTTACGGCAAAACTTTATCCTCCGACTCATAAACCACTCGCTTTGTTGTCAAGAAAGATGTTCTCAATATCAAAATCGGCATGCCAAGTATTATGAAAGAAAAATGTAGGTGTTAGCCTGGTTTACTTGTATTGTATGGGGTACCAACAGCGAGAAGGCCCTGGAAATCAATTTGATACTAAACCATCACTTCCTCTTCGTTCGTCTGACCCTCTCTTCGAATATAAGACCCAGGGAAAGATCCCGCGTTTTATAAGCTCAGTCAATCCTACTCTGTTATTTCCTATTAACCTTGCCCCTCTTAACTGGAACAAGAGTCAGTTTCTTGCCAGATTTGCTAGTTCCAGCTTCTGCTGTACGTAGCATCGAAATAGCAACTTGGTGCTGATTTTTGTCTGCTTTCTCATCTGTAAATGGTTTCAATTCAAATGATCCCCGGGTGAAACCTCGTGCAACCTGGGTTTTAAAATTCTGGTGGTCAGTAAAAGAAGTCTACGTAGTTTCATGCAATATCAACATACAAAAATTACTTGGGTTCGGCCAATATTTTGCAAAACACAAATGATATTAGTGGTCGAGGATGTCAAGGTAGAAGGTTGATGACATGATCAACTGATGCATGATACCATACTAGATATTACACGGCCTAAAATAGACTTTGATAATGTCCATGCAAATTTAGGGATGATGAGACGATGAACACACATGTTAATATCCAAATAGTGGCAAGTGGCAAGCACCAAGCATACAACAGTTGAATGTTTGAAAAGGGAACTGGGTTATTGATATGCTAACTTATGCTAAAAATGTAGAAATTAAAAAGTCAATGAATATGGTGCACCTTCAAAAGAATCCACACTTTCAGGGAACTACTCAAGATGGCAAGTCTGGTCCTTTTCCCTGAAGTTAAGTAATTACACATGTGTTGGTCAACCCTCAGGACAAATCTTGGCCAAGATTTAGGATTTTCATGGTTTGCCTTCTGTTTCATCACCGCCTGATGCCAAAAAAAGAGAGAGGTTAAAACAGATTATTTTCTTGCCATTCATATCAGCGGGAAACAAGGTCTTGTTATAATCAAAATTAGGATAAACTTCATCCAACTCTTATCCATTCAGTTGCAAAGTGAACTATGCTCTGAATACATATATAACTTACTAGTAATCGGCAAATTTCTTGTTCAATTTTTGAAAAGGAGGTCTCCAAAGCTTCAACCCTCCCTGTACCATGACAGCAAGTACAGGGTTCACTAATCATAAATGTCACGCTAGGCCGAACCTGTTCAAATATTATATCATTTATAAGTTAAAAGAAATAGATCAATTGGAATTGAAGACTATTGTCATTTGAAATAAGGTTTTATCTCAAGTTAGAAACTAGGATAAATTAGGAGCAGGTATATATATCATCCATTGGAACCCTGGGAAAGTTCCCTGAAAATTAGAAGCACAATTTAAAGAACTAACATACCCTCTTTCTTGTTATTTCCATTAGCCCATGTTTCGATAATTCAGAGACTTTCACCATTGATCGATCTCTCTCAACTGCTTTCTTTACTTCTTCATATACTAGTCTCTTATTTGCTGAAATTTAGAGAGCCAAGTAAATATCAGTGACACATTTCCTTACTCCAAAGACGTTAGAACACTTCAAGACAATCTAGTTTTACCACTTCAAGCAAGTAACATTCACAAGGTTTACTTGAGCAGCCTAAGTTGGAAAGGAAAAAGGGAAGAGAGAGAGAACGTAAGTTATAATGCTGCATATCATCTTCAAGTTTTTACTAGAGCAGCTAACCAAATCAGATGGGTAGAAACAATTCATAAGAACGGTAACATACTTCTAATGGTTGAAGCAAGACATAGCAATTTTAAGGTGAATGAGATGATTCTGATAAACACCAGATAACAAATATTCATAGAAAACATAAGCAATTTGAGCAGTTCCAATATATCGACAGATAGCAAAGATATGTATGTGTGTGTGTGTGTGTGTGTAGCGAGAGAGAGACAGAGACTCACAGTCATCTTCCATATCAATGAAATCCACAACGATAATGCCACCGATGTCCCTAAGCCGTAACTCCCTTGCAATCTGAAAAGTAGTATTTACTGTTAAAAAACTATCAAATCCTTAAATGCAATAGTCAACATGGGTGGATAATTTATTGAAAAGAACGGACAAAAAGAACAAGAGACCACAAGGAAGATTAATTATGCACAGAATACAAGCACTTCATAAAAGATGCACCCGTACCCTATCCTCCTACTACCTCTTCCCTCTTACACTAAAGGTGAAGGTTCTTAATTTGAACGTTAAGTATCATTATTGACTTTATATCAAGGGGAATAATTATCGGTATACATAAGTTCAATTTTTTTACATCCTAACAGAAATGTTAGGTAGCATGATTGTGTTCATATCAGTTTAATTAATAGTTGCCATACACAAAAAAAAGGGGGGGTCTCAGTGTAGCCATCAGCAGCCACTATGATATAATGTGATTACCCATCCATATACGACGAAAAATAGTCAGAGTATAATGAGACTGAGGAACAGAGCCAGATTATATTTCAGAAGTAAAAAAAAAAAAACATTAGGATCCATGATATAATGGCATACTTCCTCTCTCAGATTGACACAACCAACTTATGATTGTGGGTTGGATGTTCATACAAAGAGGGGAATATAATTATGGTAAAATGTGCTCAACATACTTGTTTTGCGGCAGCAAGATTGACATCCAGAGTGGCTTTTTCCTGTGATGCTCCATGACCAAGCATTCCATGTCCTCCATTTACATCAATTGAAACTAAGGCCTCTGTTTGTTCAATCACCAAGGAACCTCCATTTGGGAGTGGAACCCTGTTAGCAAGAGTTGTACGTGACATCAGATAGGAAACATAGAAGGTATACAACATTTCCCAGTAACACAGTGGCAACCTTGCATAACCATCAAGGATTTGTGGGGAAAATAATATTGGTTATCAATTTGGCTTCTTTGATAGGAATGAATTAGGACTATCCAAACTTATTTGTTTAACTTTTTAAGATCATTTCCATAACCGTAGCTTGTGGTATGTTTTGGTGTAAGTGGAATATTTAAGTTCAAGAAAAGGACAAAAAAGTAGCAGAGATGCCAGAAAAACTCTGAAGCCAATTAAGGGAACAGATAATTTGACTGTCAGTTTGTGTCTCAGCACCCATTTCAAGTAGTGGCATTAAAGATGGCTAAATCCCTCTTCCAAAACCAAAAGATTGTATGGAAGCCATCTCCTCAACCTCTTGTTATGGTGCCATTACTGACAGTTGAAGCCATCACTAATTAATTCACAAACACTTGATTCTTATAACTCTAACCCAGGAAGCAATACCAGCTGATTATAAGGAATCAAATCTACCAGGAGATCACGGTATAAGAATTTACAAAGGCCATAGTCCCAACCTCTCAGCTACATTTTACCTAAAATATTAAGAGCATTTGCATATAACAGTTATCCTCACCTTTTGCTGAGGATACTGTTGATCTCTTCCTCAATGTTGAATGCATCAAAAAGAGGAATCCTTTTGTCATATAACTCTGCTCGATCACAAAGATCAGGAGCTATATCCTGCAGATAGTTGGTAACCTGACACCAAAAAGAAAGCTCATACCTCTATTTCATGTCAAACAACTAATGAAGAAACAGTGAGATGTATGAATACTTTACCTATAGTTAAAATTGCATTATTAAGAAAAATAAAATATAAGTGAGGTTAGACCATGAATGGAAATAAAAAGAAAATGCATGTCTGCATGAAGAAAGAGATGCATTCATTGCCTCAGTCCCAATAATGTAATACCTCATGATATGTTCTTGGTGAGTCAACTATCATTTTGTTAACCTGAAGGTACATGAAAAAAGAGGTGATAGTAAGAAGATACTGAAAGACAATCAGAAGCTCCTGATGTACAACAACATTGGAAAGGTATAAGTGAATGGAAGAATGGGAGCACAATAAATGACAGACTTACATTATCATTAAAGTAATCCTGAACAACTGAGAGTGTTTGGCCCATTGCTCTGTGCAGCAAAACAGGTGTTGCCCCTTCTACACCTTCATCTGCTGCAAGAGCCGCAGATTTAGCATGTTCGACTATATTTTTCCAAGTTGAAAGCAACCCTTCTAAGTCTTTCTGCAGCTCCTCCAAAGAACGTCCAGTCGCAACAGTCCTTACGGTTAGACCAAATCCCTGAGGCTGCAATGTTTTTGCTATGACTTTCAGACGTGTACGCTCAACGCCGGTGATCTTTTTGGAGACTCCAATTCTGTCACAACGGGTGAGTAATATCTGCGATCCAGGAAAAACTTCAGAAAAATAAGCAACTTTATGAACAATGATTTACAGAGAGAACAGAGAGGGAACTAAAGTAGGAGAAACAAGAAAATACCCAGAATCTGCTTCTTAATTTTGGATAAGCAGTCAGTGTGGGACCTTTTGTACCCAATCCTTCTTTAACAACTTGCACAATTACTTTGGTGCCTTTTCGGACATAGTGCCACTTGTTTTCATCAGCATACTCTCCATCTTGGGAATGTGACACAGAGCAGCTATTAGATATTTCTAAAGAAGAGGCACCAAGAAAATTTCCTTCTTCTAGGTGGTGCTCTCCATCTAATAAATCTTCAAAATCAGCATCCACTTCACCATAATCAACTACACTACCATTCACGCTCTCTTTAAGAACTCTGAAAACATCAAAATCATCGCCAACATCATTATCATTAGAGTTATTATGCATAAACTGCAAATCCTCATCCTCAGAGTCATATTCTGTGGCATCTTCAATGAAAACAACATCTTCGGAGGAAGGTTCAGTTTCATTAGCAGCTGAAGGCTCACCAGGATCTCCAGAAACCAAATCTTTGGCTCGGTTTTTTTTTGTACGACGAAATGGAGGGAATATGAACGGTTCCCTGTTGTGCTTTATGTCCATAAGAGAGTGTCTTGAGCTTCCAATATTTACAAATGCACCACCCATATGGGGAACAAGTTTCATAACTACACCTAAATATACACTATCACACTGTACATGGGCTTTAACTGGTTCAAGTAACAACTCAACCAATTTACCGCCTTCCAGCACAGCAATCCTTTGCATTGTACATATCGAAGAATTAATCAGTATAACAGTAGATACAGAGTCCTTGGAAATTACACGACTGCTTTCTTCAGACAAATTTTTTTCAGTAATTTGGTCGTTCTGATTATTTGCTTCCAACCTGATTTTCTCATCTTTGACACTGTTGGCCTCCATAACATCATCAAAACTGAGAAAGAACAGAGGTGAATGGAAAAACCAAGGTTCCTCAACAGGCTGGTCTCTTTCACAAGTAGTAGAATATGATCCCCCCTCTGCATCATTAAGTGCAACCATATCACTTGGTTCTATTTCATCCATGACTATAAGGTCATTCAAGAATTGCTTTGACTTGCTTAGATCACTTTCATGATGTTCCTTAATCTCATCTTCATCTGTCAAAGCACTGGAAGCATTTGAGTGTTCAGAAACATTTTAAAGAAGTAATTTGCATATAAAATGTCTCTAAAATAGAGATATTACCTTCGGCTGGAAAGACTGAAGGTTTTATTGGAATATTAGTTTCTTCGATCCATGAACCCCAAGCATGTGTTGTGCAGGTTTCAGATTTAGACCTCATCATGAATCTCTCACCACAATTTGTCTTTCTTGCTTCTTAGGTGGTGGAACTGACAAAGAAAACTGTGGCCCAGGTCTCCAAGTGATATCAGATAAAGGCTGCATTTCTTCTTTTATGAAATAGTTATACTTGAAATTTACACCACAAGCTATCTGCCAAATATTTGAATTTAATTAAATGTAATATTGCAGTGAATATAAGTTACACAAATGACCAGGTTCATTTATAAGAAAGGCCCTATAAATCAAATTTCCTCTGTCCAAGAAGAGAAAAAAATAAATAAAAGGGGTCCGCAAGACCTTAGACTAAACTTGATGGCACAGAGCATTTTTTGTCATGGAATTTCTCCAAAAGTCTGTCTTGTTTAAGCGATCTAAGAAGGAATTTCTTGTCTCAGAAATACTTCTATGCAAAAGATACAAGAAGTGCAAGGATGACATTTTGGATAGAAGGCCAAATATTTCACATGTTATTACAGATGACACAAACCGTAGATATCAAATTATTTAATACACTATTGACATTGTTTTACATTTTAAAGAAAACCATTTGTGCCGCTTATCATAGTTGGATCATCGTACCTTGACTTCAGCCCTCCATATGTTTGCATGTTCAGTAGGAGACACCAGGATTGCCATCTCTGGTTTCCAGGAACCTAAGGCAACAGATTCCCCACTAAGGTAGAGAAGTTGACCTTCTGCCAGATCTGCTTCCACAGTCCAAACTACTTCACATAGTTCTTCAAAAGTGGCAGTTGGCTTGCCTGAGAAAATTTAGTCCAGTTGATCATTCTGAACTTCAGGAAAGTTTTTCCTAAAAGGGTCACGTTATATGTGGATAACTAATAGATGGGATATGTCCTTTTTGATTAATTATAATGATACATTTGCAATAACTTTTATTTATATTTCCAGGAACAACAATAAAAACTCCAGATTTATCTCGGTCCCATTATTATCAGACATTTGTTAGACCAAAATTACAAAGCCTGCAACTAGATACATATGTCATGTATAAATCTGACCGCAAATGTTCTTGCTGTCAGATTAATTAATTTATCAAATCTACCAACATAATAAAGGCACATAATGCTTGAAGTCAATAGAAAATAGCAACATAGGACTGTCACTTACCTTTCTTTGAAGACATAACTGGGGACCTTTTCAAAAGATTATGATTGCCAGCACAAAGATTAAATCTGAACACATTTCCAAGGGGACTATGGTAGTAAGGAAACCTGCTTCAAAGTATAAGCAATAGTTAATCTGGAAATAGAGAGGAGAGAGAAGAAGCAAAGGTGATCAGAAATTTAAAAATAAAACACATTTAAATCCAGTGGCATTCATGGTTTTCAACCATGTCCAAATTGTATTCTGCAACTTCCTAAAACAATATACATATATTTTTACATTTTGCATTCAGAACAATTAGATTTACTAGTTAACGTAACAGAATATAGAAATTAAAAAAGTATAATACCACAAAATGAACAAACAAGATTGCACAGCTTGAGTACAATAGGTGCTGTTTTCTCTCTCGAATGTGTCTGACCATTCAAAACCACCAAGAAGAAGGTGGAAATCATGTTCATTACAGCGGCATTAGTATCACAGAATACAACTTTAGGCTTTGGATTTACATATTGCATATTTGAAAGAATGCTGTCGCACTAACATAATGACACTGATACCCCAAGAATTGATGCAAATTATATATATAAAGAAACAACCACAACCAAGGGATGCTCAAGCACCTAAGAATGCATATCAGCTACTTCTACCGTTAAATAAAGCTATCCAATTAATTATGTGTTCAAACACTAATGAAAAACTAAAGAAAACCAAATGAAGCATAGAAAATTAAACAAAATCTCCCACCTTTCACAGCTATAGAAAAAACCCATACATCCTTATCCTTAAAGAAATGCAAAAATAAAAAAAAACATTGAAAAAATAAAAACCCAGTTAAAGGAAAGCTGTACGTACGGTGATAGGAACTTAAAGGAACGAATCGGAGAAGAGGGAATTCGTGAAGATAAAATAGAGCACGACCGGGGCCGAGTTTCTAAGACATCCATGAAAGTAGAGTGCTTAAGCTCAGTGAAGTGAAGCATGACGGAAACTCCAAAGTGGGTAAATTTGAGAAGATACTAGGGGCAGTTTCGTCATTCGGGGGAGCGTGGAGGTTCACTGTTTGAAGCTTGAGACGATGGTTAAGGGCATCGGGTTGGACATTGGAGTTGGAGGATAAATGGATAAATAAATGGTTTTTCCTTTTTCACATGACCATATACGAGGGATTCTCTAGAATGGTGCCGTCTGGCACGTGTGTAATTTTCGCACGTGATACTGAAATAATTTTATTTTTTTCTATATTATTTTTAAGCAAATTCTTCAAATTTACTTTAAAAAGAACAAGACATTTTTATCCTTGGTAAAAAATTCAATTTAATTCTTATGAATTTTACGTATAAAATTGCATCTATTGATAACGTATACAAATTCTATAAATGTAACTGTTTGAATTGAAATGTTTTAAAGAAAATTTTTTTATTATTACTAAGATCACTTAGTAAATTTACGACGTTTAATATTTAAATACACATTTTGTTCTTAATTGAATCTATGATAAAATAAAATAAAAATAAATCAAGTATCCCTGTTCTGAATGTATTTGTAATGAAAAGTTTACAACTTTGGTAGACATAAATTTATTAATTATATAAAATTTATATTTGAAGATGTAGAATAAGAGTTTTGAATTTTGAAATTATTTATCTTTGTAAAACTCAATATGATTAGTCGATGAATAAATCGAATACCAATAATTAATTCAAAATAGATAGATTTGTATTCTTATTGTATTTTTTGTATTTTTTTTCTTCTTCGAAAACTTTCAGATCTTTCATGTTGAATCAAATTTAGTCGTGAAGAAAGCTTCATAACCTGCGGACTACAAGCACAAAACATTTTTGCTTCTCAGCGAAGATGATGCAATGCAATTAATGTCTTCCTACTCATACCAGACAACAAAGATATGTTTTTTCATGATTCATGTCCGATTTACAGTCTTCGAATTCGTGACTGTAAATCGGACATGAAATAAAGTAAATATCATCTTATCTTAAATGATTGAAATCTACAACATTGTTCTTTTGTTTTTCGTTAAAAACGTTATAAAACCAACATATTCCACCAGAACATCCTAGTGAATCATCAGGCAATATGGTGTTTGCAGATTTAAGTTCCAGTAATTACCTAGTTTTCTTCTCAAACTTAAAAGAGTTATATACGATACTCGTGTTCGAATACGCATCGCACATGGATATTTTACGAAAAATATGAAGAGTTGGAGCAATGAGAAGTGAGATGCATATAACATCAGAAACCCTGACAATATGAACATTCAATAGCACATCACCACAACAAGATAAAACTTGCGGGCAGCAAACACTCGCCTAAAAGTACCTGTACAATAAACATGTTCATCATGGCTGTAATAGTCTCACCAAAAGCACGAAGCTTCCTGTTCCTGCAGCAGAGGAGTCCGGCAAGACGGGCATGTAACCTTTCGATAATTCAACCACTCTTCCAAGCACACCTTGTGAAAGAGATGGCCACAGGTCAAGTTATTAACCTCCGATTCCGGCTTAAATCGAGTCAAGCAAACCGGACATTTACGGTCAGACCGCTTGCAGCTACACACAGCATCAAACCTTATTGCTGGTGTCCTACTCCGGAACTCTTCAATGTAAATATCACAAGTAAAAGGGCAGAATTCAAATGATTCCGAGGGGTTTCCAAAAGAATCTGCAGATGGTGATGAAGAAGCCAGATCGATACCAACAACTTGAAGGATCGATCGGATTATGCCTATAACTATAGATATGGATAAAGCTGTGTTTACCAAGAGTACACATAGCACTCCTTCTGATGGAGATGGGAGAGTTGAGAGACCCATTTTTCAGTAGAGAAATTCAAGATTAAGTGAATAAATTGATGATATGATGGAAAAGTAGATGCAAGAAGATGATTCGAGCTACTCTATGACCTGGAAAAACATTAAGCATCCATTAGAATACAATACAAGAGTTAATCAAATTATGCAAGGCTCAAGCATTTAATTCCAAGACTCACATGTGGATAACCTCAAAGATAAACAAACAAATCACTGAGAAAACATAAAATCCAGAACCAAATTGAATTTGAAAACTTTCTGGTGAGAAAGTGATGATAATCTGCAACAAGAAGTGATATTAGTGAAACATTTGAGGAGAAATAACAAAGAATTGAAGCTTTTCCATTATCAAGCTCTAACCATGATCATACTTTATTGGTAATCAAAGTTAGTAACTCAAAAAACAATAAACCAACGACAGAATCGGATAATAAAGAAAATGCATATTAGATCTAATATTTCTATGCATAATAGAAAAAGCAATCCAAGTTTGTTTAGCCAAGAAACAAAACTTACACAAAAAAGGGTCAACTTTGATCTGGAGAAGGCACCAAGAACAAGAACTAAACAATATTTTTTTTCAATGGATCAATAAAACATAGAGAAAGCAAAACTGGGTTTTAAACAAAAATGAAAAAAAAAGTAAGGTTTTAAAAATCTGGTAATGGCTCCTCCACCATCGTTCCTTTCTCTCCTGATATAGCAGCCCCACACCCTTAACTCTAAGGAACATATTGTGGTTAACTTCCGAGTTTTCCGGGCTCTAATCCACCTTAACTATAGTTACTTTATATCACCATCTCTTTAAGCTTTAACTGTATATTTTTTCAATTAGACCTAGCAGAATAGATGAGATTCCGACCAGCATAGAAACAGTTTGATTCGTTTTTTATCATGCAATTATCATTGAGCAAAATAGAATTACCTTGAGGTCTCGAATTCATTGAATGATCTTAGTTGTTAAATAAAATATTATTTTCTTTTAAAATATTAAATTTAAGTAATTATGTTTGTAAATTATATATACATTATAAGTAATAATATCTTATAATTACATCAATCTATAAAAAATTACATTTCTTTATCTTAACTTCAAAGACATTTTGTACCCAAAAGTTATAGACTTGGAGGCTAAAGCAGCTAAAAGATGAAACTGAATATGCCATTTTTAGCTACAAATTGTTGACAAATCAGCTTTTAACATGGTCGGCTAATTTTATTAAAGAAAAACACTCGAACTATTATAAATGTTTATAATCATAATCATAAATTAATTACATAATTAGAATATTTTATATAATTATTAACAAAATAAACTAGCCACTTACAAGGACCATATAAAGAAAAGGATAAAAATTAAATCAAAATACTCAAACAAAGATAAATACAAATAGATCTGATTGCATCAATAATTGAACTACAAAAAAAAAAGATAAAAACAACTAAAAAACAACTAACAAAACGCATATTAGAGTCGAGCGACATAGGATGCTATCCACAAATGCAACCATGTATTCCAATCCAATATGAGGATTCAAAATAAGGAAGACCATCAGAATAATAAATAAGTGTCATATTGATCAGTCCAGACATCTATGAGAAAAGATAAAAACGAAAAGAACAATCAAATTACCGAAAATATATCAAAAGACATAAAAAATGTATAAATACAAAGAAAACATACCATAAAAGTAACGTTATTGAAAATTAAAAACAAAAATAACTTTATAAAATAAAAAATAAGTGAAAAATAAAAAGCACCCGCGGTCTACAACCCAACACTAAGGTTAATGTGGTTGTCGTTCAAATAAAAATATAAAAAGGAGAAGGGCGCAAGAAGAAAATAACATGGGGGAAAACCTATTCTCTTGAAATATGGTAATTTATTTTTAACATATATATAAATATATAATGAATGACTATCTAGTTCAGTTGGTAGAGTATAATGTTCTTAGTCTTGAGGTCGTGGGATCGAGTCTCACAGAGGACATTTCACAATTCGAAGGTTTTCTACGGAAGCTGCTCTCAACCTGATGTTGGAGGCAACCTACTATCTTACCTTCCCCTTACCCCATTAAATATGGGAACAAGGGACAACCAAAATAAATATATAATACAAGTAAAAATAACTATCACAAAAATAATCATTATAAAATAATGAAGATCAATAATAAAAGACTTGAATTAAAATAAAATTTAAATCAAAATTATTAAGACCTCGGCTTTATCATTTTTTTAAAGGGGAATCTTGTATGTTATTAAAGTATAGCAATCATACAAAGACAAAGCAATATTGAACGTGATCTCATTAAAAAACCTCTCTAACTTATTTGGAGAAAAAAGTACCCCAATCAAATGCCAAATGATACAAAACAGCCACACGATTCAAAACAACCCTCAATCAGCATACAAGAAATACTGCAATCTAAAACAAATGCAAAAAAGCAAAGGAGAACTGATCCCAGCAATACACAACAAAGTTACAAAAGCCAAACCCCATTTGCGCACCAGCCTTAACTGCCCCTCAATCCATCTTTATCATCATGGCAGCATGAAACACGATCGTTTGCTTCAAAACCTTATAACAGTAACATCGAATACACCTTAGAGGCAATTAACTCAATCAATCAAAACAAAACAACAAGATAGCAGCAACCAACCATCAACTACCCCAACCAAGCAACACAAAACATCAACACGACATACAAAAAACTGTATGGACTCTCAACCCCTACAAACTACTTGAAAGCAATAACCTCATTCGGATAACTGGAAAAATCAATTGTAGAAAGACATAAACCAGGGTATTTGCACTTGAACCAAAACACAATCATAGCCTTAGCCGACTCTAGAATATGATTAACGCACACTCTACATTTGTTAAAAATCACATCATTTTCACATCGCCAAATAGTCCACGACAAATCGAAAAAAAAATATTGTCCATAGTTGCATACTTGACCCTGAAACCGAGCACCCAACCCAAGATAGAAGGGATTTCACATCAGGCGGACATACAAAATGTAAATTCCAACTCGCTATCACCAATAATAATTCTCATATTATTAACAAAGTTAGCATTAGACCCCGACTGAGGGTGAACTATACTTCTCCAAACCCACGACATCTTCTTATCTTAAATTGGGTTAGGAATCAAAGAACGAGCATAGTACTTATGCTTAGCTATCAACACCTTCTTCCACGGGGATCCTTCTTCACACCTAAATCTATATATCCATTTATTAATCAGCGCTCTATCTTTTACCCTTAAGTTAATTATCCCCAAACTACCTTAATTTCACAATTTACAAACCTTGATCCATTTGACCCAATGGATAGCCCTGCCAGACTTTGCACCCCAAAGAAAATTAGTCACAAGGTTATTCAACTTCGAAGCCACTGACACAGGCATTTGAAATAAAGAAAATAATAAATCAGGAGGTTCGACAAAACTGACTTCACTAATAGCAGTTCAACCGGTTTAGATTGAATCGGATTAGACAACGATTCCCGGTTGAACCGGTTGAACTGACCGATCCGGTCCGGTTTTCAAAACAATGATCCACTCTCAATAATTTCGACTTCGCAAATTGAGACTCAACCCGAAGCAGCTCCAAAAACTCTAAGAATCCTTTTTGAATTTCTAATTGAGTCAATATTTCCATCGGAGAATATCAAGAGATCATTTGCAGACTACAGGTGAGACAGGGATAAAGAACTCATGCCAATTTGAACTCCTTTAATCCGTCCCACTTCCACCACCTTGTTGATTAAAGCGCTGAGAGCCTCACCCACAAGATTGAACAGAAAAGACGATAACAGACAGCCCTGCCGTAACTCTCTCTTGATACTGAATTTTCTAGTAAGAGTACCATTAACAAGAACAGATATGGATGCCGAAGAAATGCAGAAATTTATCCATTTTTTCCACCGAGACCCGAAACCCATTTTCCTCATTACCAACCCCAAGAATTCCAGTCAACTTAATCACATGCCTTGCGAAAATCAACTTTAAGAACCACTACTTTTTTTCTTCTCTTTAGATAGTCAACGACTTCATTTACTAAAAGCGCACAGTCCACGATTTGCTTCTCTTCAATAAACACGAACTGGGAATCACCTATGATTTCCTTCACACACCTTGCTAGCCTTCTAGACAACACTTTGGCCAGAATCTTATACAAGCTGCCTACTAAGGAAATAGGCCTAAAGTCATCGACGCTATTAGGAACATTACTTTTCAGGATAAGGGTAATAAATGAATGGTTGAAAGAGGAATATGGCCACTTTACTTTATAAAAATCTACAAAGAAAACAATTACCGCTCTTTTAATTGAACTCCAAAATTTCTTGTAGAATTCAACATAAAATCTATCGAGTCCAGGAGCTTTAGACTCGTTAGATGAAGAAATGATGCTCCATACTTCCTCCTCTGAGAAAGGTTCTTCGATTGCTTTCCTCGATGATACGCACGGTTTATTTAAATGCACATCAAAACGTTTAATAGGAAGTGTGCTATCCGAGTTATAACATCTTCTAAATTGTTGTTCAATCACCTTGGAAATATGTATTGGGTCTTCAACCACTCCAGTCCCAACTCTAATGCAAGATATATGATTCGAACGACCCCTTAAGACTATAGTAGCGTAGCAAAATTTTGTACTCTGATCTCCTGCTTTGAACCACTTCAGTCGAGACTTTTGAAGCCATTCCCTTTCCTCCAGCTTACACCTAGCCAGAGTTTACTTCTCAGCTGGATAATTTTGTTAAGCACCATACTCGGATTGTTGGAAGTGGAAACCCTTTCTTCTAACACTTGAATGTCGACCTCTAACTCCCTAATTGAGCCTGGTTCCTTTACATTAACTTTAGAAACCCAAACCTTAGATGCACATTTTACCTTTTTGAGCAAAGAACTCACACCCCCATGCATACACTTACTGCATACTTTCCTAACAACATCCACATAAGCAAGTTCATCCGCCTAACGAGTGAACCATTTGAAGGTCGAGGACCTCGCGGGAAAGCCACCATTTTAAGAACAATTGGGTTATGGTTTGAAATGCTTCTGGAAAGAGTGACTTGGGCGAGATTTGGGATCCGAACAAGGATATCCGGAGACACCAAGAACCTATCAATCCTGCTCACTGAAACAAAAATTCCTCTTCTAAACCATGTATAGCGACTACCTTACAACTTTAAATCAACTAAATTACAAGCCTAAATGAAATTGCACGGTAATCTCATCGCGTTAGTGTTCTCCGGAGCACTCACCTTCTCATATTCACATTTAACAATATTAAGATCACCTCCAATGATAACCTGTACACCCAAGTTGACCACCAACCCCTCTAATTGTTCAAAGAAACATCTCATCTCTGCTTGATCATTTGGCCCATACACGTTGATTAAATTGACTTTCATGCTGACTTGAATAATCATGCCTATCAGAACCATAAAACCCCTTTGTGTTGACATTCTTTCTATCACAAAAAACCATGATCCCACAAAGATAATAAACCCCAAAAAAACTCTAACAAATAAAGCAACAGCTGAACCATGTAAACTAGACGCACAACCGCTTTAACAACCCTGGAGTTGAAACACTCATCTTAGTTTCCTGAATGAAAATAACTAGTCACACCCCAAAATTTTGGGTAAAAATATTATAAATTCATTAAATTAATTAAAAGGGTTAAATTGAATTTTTATTAATGATTTTATGTTAAAATGTAAACCAATATGTTTCAGGGACTATCCCATAATTTTCTCATAACCAAAAATATCATCTAACATAAAAATAAAATAAAGAGAA